TTTTTTTTTTTTATTTTTTTTTTTTATCCCGGTACCTAGGGGGGACCCAAATAATAGGGATTTAGGGCCCAAATACTAGAATATTAATGGTATGAGGGCCCTAAAGCCCTTTAATTTGGGTCCTTGGACCCTTAGGCCTTTGGAGCAAAAATGGAATCCCCGTAAAGGGGTGTTGGGAATATATACGGGACATAAGGATTGTGTGGCGGTATCAGGGAGAATTTTAAGGATTGTGCTTAGGGACTACATGGGGGCTGCTGTCGGATCAGGGTCTAAGGTCGAGAGCTTTGAGAATAAGTCGAGGGTCTGAAGGTAAAGTTTAGGGTTTAGGACCTAACTTTGATTTCAGGGTTTAGGGTTTGGGGACGGTTAGGGTTGAGGGCAAACATGTTGTCAGGGACCCAATCACCCTCAGGGTTTAAGCGCTCCTTCCCCTGGTGTCAAACATCGTCAAACCCAATGACTTGCACACATCATGGGTTATCCCACCAACCTCTAAACTGCGCGCCCCAAGGCTTCCCTTTAATTAGACTTAATCAACTTGATTAACTCTAAATAGCCTAATTAAGGGGGGAGCCTTTGAGGGTAGTCTAGATGTGAGTGGTTAGGTAACATATCACCAAAGTGAAGCCCTTTCTGTCACGCAAACGGACGAGTCGAGTTGAACAACTGCACTTTCTGGTTTGTCACGGTGTTAACATTTCGCTCTGATGGCAAGCAGCCTAAGGCAGAAGTCACAAACTATCTTACGTATTGAGGGTTGCCACTTGCCTTGCGCGCTGTTATTACTTTCACTAACTGCCACAGTGCGGCAAAGACCCTTGGTTGCTAGAGCTCATTAAATGCTAGAACTTGAAGGCCGACCATGACCTTGCTGTACAGGCCTGGATGCTTGCAATAACCTTTCAGGTATCATATTGCCACATCTTGTAAGTCAGAAGGGGCTGCTACCATCCTCACCCATGAACTGTTGGTGGCACAGAGCTGGCAGCCGCTTGCCTGCGCCTCCACCTGTAGTGATCGCGGCACCTTCAACGCGGCAGGGCATGTATCTAGAGGGATCTTGAGTAAGTATATTACAGTGCTCAGAGGTATAGTCCCCCTTAAGCGGATAGAATATTATAATAAGATCCCCATACACCCCATATTCTATCTACATAAGAGGGACCATAATCTGTAATGGTGTCTAAAGGGGAGCTATATAAAAGACTGGAGGTTCTGACCTTGGCATCTCGTGAGTGTCTGCCTTCTATTGGAGGTCATGTCAAATATTTCGCCAGGAAGTCAAACAGGAACTTGGAATTCGGAAGGTTGCAACCAAAATGCATGTTCTTGAAGCCCCTGGCTTGAGTTTCGGTGCTACTTCTGACCCCTAAACAGCTAAGGTATACAACTCCACGTGAACTTCCAAAATGCAACACCTCCTCTAGTTGCATCAGCAGGTCCGCTTACCAACCTCATGTTGTGACCTGCAAACCTTCAAAAGTTGCCACGAATGAGGGCGCTCTCATGAAAGGCTGGAGCCCAAGCGTGACTGCACTCGTCTTCCTCACGGAGTTATCCTGATAAAACGAACATGCAGCCACTCATGTAAAGCCCGCACTGAAGATTGGTTCATCAAATAGGGTTCAGGGTTTGGGGGGATATGTTGGGATGATGGAAAATGGAAACTAGTATTTAGGGTTATATTAGGGTTATATTGGGGTTATATTAGGGGAATATTAGATATATAATACTTAGGGCAAAGGGGTTCCCGAGAAGTCATTTGCTTGCGGGTTTTCGTTTGCCTTAGGCAAAGTGCCAGGTGGGCAAGCTCAAGTACCATCCCTAAATCCAGGAGTGTGTGGGCAGTCCAGTCAACATCTCGCAGGAACAGCTCCTCAAAAGGACTCTTCCCAATATGGTAATTTCCCTAGATAGGGACCCCAATACATACCCCAAATGCTATAGCCCTGAAGAAAGGACACACCAAAAAAGTACCCCTAATTTCGGGGGGACTACTATGGGGGCTGTCAATGCACTGTAGGAGTCTAGACTAGAGCTCATAAGACCAAACTTGAAAGCCCAGTAGGTATGAGTAGTGCTTTTTGGAGGTTGAACCTATTAAGGTTATATTCTTTATATAAAATACTACTCCCCAAAAGGTGGATATAACCGTACTCTGCATGAGCTATCATCTAAACTCCAAGTATCCCCCTTGATAGGGCCAACCCCTAGGTTTCTGCGGCGTCCATTTTTCTAGCGTCCGCGGAAGTCACGAAACATTGGCAGGCGTGGGACTTTTGGGACATGCGGAAAATGTGGGGCTTCCAGAACGCTGACCTGAGGAGGGGGGGGGGTCAGGTCGTCGG